CCAGCCACAGAGCTCTGGCTTCCACGGTAGCTAGGCAGCAGTTAAGCACGGGACAAGTTGGGAGGGACCTCTCCTGGTATGGCAACTCCCCTTATTCGGGACTGCTCCGGTGCTGAGGGTGCTGGACGGGGGAGGTCCAACCTATACATTCATTTATTAACACTTAAGATTTTCGCAGACTCCCTTCTTCTTTATGTCAACATATGCTAACCTCCTGGGATATGTGTTTCAGTATGTCATAATAGATTTGTATAAAAATGTCTGTTTCTAAAGGTATAAATGTGCACGTTAACTGCCATGTTACAGGCCATTCAGAGGCTTTTATTTTAATTGGAGAAACATATGGGTTAGAGCTGGAAAAGATTTATTAAAGCATCTAGTCCATCTCCCTGCCAATGCCAAATTGTTCTTTTTGGTATATTTTCTAGTGTTGATTGCAAAGAATCAAATATATTTGCACATGCAGTTTTGCTGCTGAGCTCAATGAAGTAGCATCAATCCTTCATTGGTCACACATCTTTATAATCTTGATTTAAACCTCATAGAACAATGATAACCAAATGAAACTATCAAAACTGCCTGATTTTAGCTAGAAGAAATCTTAACATTTCAGAGTCTATCATCATGATTAACCAAAAAAAAAAAAAAAAAGCTCAACAACACATCACCTCTGCAACAGAAAAATTCCTTATCCTAAATTTAATGTTCACACTGGCTGATTTGTCAGAGAGTTAAAGACTTCCAATAAGCCTGCAAGCATTCTAGACCTACATTTCTGATTTTAGTGGGGCTGAAATTCTAAGGGAAAAGGGCAATTTAAATTAAAACATGTATTGATTGCTGTTTTCTGACAAGCTATGGTGCTGTCGTAAATAGTACTAAAACTGAATTGCATCTTGCTGACAATAATTTCCAAAAGATAAATCCCAAATCTGTGCTTAAGATACGTTCTAGGGATTCTTTTTTGTTTTGTCTTGTGTATAATGTGGCATTAAAGAAATTGTTCACTCACTGCAATTTGGGAACTCACTCAGCAAGAGTGTAAGTGTAATGTAATACTACCAAAGCCATCAGGAAATTAAATATTCTCTCATTCTATGTACCCTAATGATTTGTTAAAAGTTCAGGGAGCATCAAAGGGTTTGTTTGAATAGCTTGTGAGTTTTACCAGTTATACAAAATGTATTGGCTAAAAGTACAAAAAGCAAAAAAGTGATCTATTTCACTGGATCATTTATTATATAGAAGAACTATACATTACACAAAGTAGGACCTGTTCCATCAAAGAGCATAATTACTTTAACTTGTCTGTGATTTTTTTAAATATATTTTAAAATGAATTGCTAACTCAGTCCAAGGCAATTCCACACAGCTCCCTCTACACCACTCTGTTCTTGTATGGAAATAGCTTTAAAAATCCACTTGGAATAAAAAAGAAAACTATGTTTAAATACATCTGACATCATACCTCTTGAGTTTTGCTGTTTGATGATTGTGCATCTGACAAGGTCCCGAACTCCAGATTAGTAGGCTGATTAAAGGAAGGTCTATAGCAAGTTGCTGTCTCTTCCACCTCTCCTGGAAGCACTAATGACCCTGCTGAATACAAAATACTTCCACTCAATATATGATTTAGCAAAATCTTATTCTAAAATCTTGCAGAGGTCAGAAGCTTGGTAGTACTTGCATTATACTTTTCCTGTTGCACAAAATATAATAGGTGTACAGGCAGTCCCCGGGTTACGTACAAGATAGGGACTGTAGGTTTGTTCTTAAGTTGAATCTGTATGTAAGTCAGAACTGGCATCCAGATTCAGCCGCTGCTGAAACTGACCAGCAGCAGCTGAATAAGGATGCCTGGGGCAGAGCAGCTGGGGTGCTGCTGGGTTGCTCAAGTAGCGCGGCTCCTCGGCGCTACCGGAGCAACCCAGCAGCACCCCAGCTGCTCTGCCCCAGGCATCCTTATTCAGCTGCTGCTGGTCAGTTTCAGCAGCGGCTGAATCAGGACGCCTGGGGCAGAGCAGCTGGGGTGCTGCTGGGTTGCTCAAGTAGCGCGGCTCCTCGGCGCTACCGGAGCAACCCAGCAGCACCCCAGCTGCTCTGCCCCAGGCATCCTTATTCAGCTGCTGCTGGTCAGTTTCAGCAGCGGCTGAATCAGGACGCCTGGGGCAGAGCAGCTGGGGTGCTGCTGGGTTGCTCCAGTAGCGCCGAGGAGCGGCGCTGCGGGACAAAACCAGCAGCGCCCCAGCTGCTCTACCCCAGGCGTCGTGGGCAGAAAAGCCTGGTCTGCTGTGGGGGAGGGGGCACTAGCTGCCCCCCCCCCAGCAGACCAGAGAGACGGGGAGCAGCTTTTCTCACCCCGGAGGACGTGGGCCGCAGGACCGCGGCTCATCTGGGCGTCCCGCCACTCCCGTCCTCCGGGGCGAGAAAAGCCCCGTTCGTAACGGCGGATCCGACATAAGTCGGATCCGCGTAACTCGGGGACTGCCTGTATTTATCTTTAAAGCACTACTGAAGCTAAAGCCAGATCCAAAAAACGCCTGTACTTTGGGAACTCAAACAGGCTTTAAACTTCATGGCTGGTCCCAATTTTTCAAATAAGCTAAATCAAAACCATAGATTGTGGAGACCCCCCATATTCTCAGGAAGTTTGGGCATCGTTTCGCCTCTATTCAAAAACGGAGGTAGTGGCCAGTGCAGAGGTCAGTGAACTGGGAGCCAGGAAACAGGAGTTCTAGCCTGAATGCTAGCCTGCTGAATGACCTGTGGCAAATCACTTCAGTTCCTCTATTTGTAAACTGGAGAGGATGGAGCCTCTCTTAGAGGATCCTGGAGACAGAGACTTCTTTTCTCTCCCCGAGGGATTTGTGAGTGTGCTGGGGCACCTGGGAAGTTTACAAGAGAGCAGTGCTCCAGCCACATGTCTTCACTTCTCATTTTTGCTCATAGTCCCAGTTAGGCTATGGATATCCCAAGGAGGCCTAGTTTCATCTAGCTTCTCCTCTGAAGATTGTTTATTGAATTACAGTCAGCAAGATTAAACACAGTGGCTGCGTCTAGACTGACAGCTGCTTTTGCAGAAAAAACTTGCCAGCTGTCTACACTGGCCACTTGAATTTCCGCAAGAACACTGATGATCTCATGTAAGATTGTCAGTGTTCTTGCGGAAATGCTATGCTGCTCCTGTTCAGGCAAAAGCCCTCTTGCGCAAAAGCTTTTGCACAAGAGGGCCAGTGTAGAAAACGTGGTATTGTTTTGCGCAAAAAAGCCCCGATGGTGAAAATGGCAATCGGGGCTTTCTTGCGCAAAACCACATCTAGATTGGAACGGACACTTTTCCGCAAAAAGTGCTTTTTGCAAAAAGTGCCAATCTAGACACTCTTTTCCGCAAATGCTTTTAACGGAAAAACTTTTCAGTTAAAAGCATTTGCGGAAAATCATGCCAGTCTAGACGTAGCCAGTGGTTTTGTAAAGGGGACCCTTCTTTATTAAAGAGCTGAAGATCATTCCCCTTAGGATCTCAAATCAGGTTCAAATCACAAGTCAGAAGATGAAAGTCCAGAAATAAAAGTTTTACCTTTCAGCCTTATTTATTTGTAGTTTACACCATAAATAATTGCATTGGAACTCATTTCCATAATATTTGAGCACTTTCCCGACCAACTAGACTGGCAAAGCCAAGTAAAAGGAGCCTGTATAAAGTTGCTAATAAGCATGTGCTAAGCCTTGACATGTTCAACAGCTAACCATGGTGTGATCTCCCTAAATTGTTTCAAATTCACTGCTCAATATACTTATTGCAAGAGGCAGGTCTGAGCATCCCCACCTGGTGATGTAAATCTTTGGTCATTACTGTACAAAGAACAAATATGTCACTGTTTATTCCCAAGAGACTCATTTGGGGAGAGAAAAGGGAGGAACCCCCCAATGAAACCATCTGGCAAGAGCTCAAAAAGACAAGGCTTAAAAATGAGGACAACAGAAGGAAATTTATTTTTGCTTTCAGCTAGAAGTGCTTTGTCACACTCAGGATGTCAGTCCTAATTTTTTAAAGCTTGTTAGTAATGCAAACAATGTTTCAGATTTCTTTCAATCACTGCCATAAGAATGTGGTAATCAACTTTTGGGTGCCTGTAGACATATGAGAAATGAGCATTTTCTCTGTACCCTGGCTGTGCAACAGCAAATGAGAGCCTAATCAGTAAATGTTGCTTTCTTTGGTAACGTTTAATCAAGAAACTCCTTCAGAGAGAAAAATTAGAGAGTCTTGACAGCCTTCCTACTCAGTAGGAGGTTCCACATGAGCTGTAGGGTTCTGTAAGATATAGCCAATACCTCACAGCTGGCTTAGCCCAATGCTTCTGCAGGACTAGTGGAAGATGATGATCCTAATTAAGCTGCTAATTACATTGTCACTGGAGGTGATTAATAAGCAACAGGACAGCCTTGGATGCTGCCAATGGCATCATATAGCTAGACATAATTGAACAGGTACTGATACTATAAAAGGAAGGATTTGGAATGTACTGTGCTTAACACTATGGAGAATCACCTTTCTAGATGAAGTGGTTTTGAAAGCTGGGATTCTAGTAATATACAACACAGCACGGCAGATTTGGAAGCTGAGCAATTGTCTTATGTTCAGCGTTATGAGGGATCTGCAAGAAGTGGTTACTAAATCAGTGAACACTGTTAATTGAGCCAGATTCTTAGGTAGTTTTGAAGAACTGATGTATTAATTAAACCTAAAAAACTATATTAATGTTATAGATCTGATCTGAACTCACACACTAACACGGCTACCCCTTGATACTAGTCAAGCCTTTGAATTTCTTCACAATTTGTATCTGCAAAAACAACTAGGAGTCCTGTTGCACCTTAAAGACTGAGGGTATGTCTACACTACCACCCTAGTTTGAACTAGGGTGGTAATGTAGGCAACCAGAGTGGCAAATGAAGCCCGGGATTTGAATTTCCCGGGCTTCATTTGCATAAAGCCGGGCGCCGCCATTTTTAAATGTCCGCTAGTGAGGACTCCGTGCCGCGCGGCTACACGCGGCACGGACTAGGTAGTTCGGACTAGGCACTAGCGGACATTTAAAAATGGGGGCGCTCGGCTTTATGCAAATGAAGCCCGGGAAATTCAAATCCCGGGCTTCATTTGCAACTCCGGTTGCCTACATTACCACCCTAGTTCGAACTAGGGTGGTAGTATAGACATACCCTAACAGAGTTATTTGGACATACACTTTCCAGGGGGTTTTCTCACAAAAGCTTAAGCCCAAATAATCATTGTTTTAAACTCTTGAGTGTGTATCTTCATTACAGCCCACCATGTCTAACTATAAATGGTCCCAAACTCACTTTCAGAATGCATCTGACAAAAAAATTGTTGCTAAGAGGTGTCAGAAAACTGAGCCTTTGAGCTTTCTATTTATTTACCACCCCTCCCCTCTCTTCCAGGTTCCCAGCCCCAAAGAGCTGTCTCGTGTGAAACTGTCTTGAAGCGGTGCTAAAACTGGGATGCAGAGGCTGGGAAGAAGCTATTTATGGATTTTTTTCCAGCATTAATAAAGCCTCACAGTATTTATCTAAATCTGTTTGCCCAAGCTGTTTTTCCTGCATGCACATATAGGTTCAAATTTAAACAAGGAAGCATGGATTATGGAAAATAATGGGTAACAGAAAAACACGCAGTAAAGTGTTGTTAGCTGATAATATCTGGCCTGATTTTTCAGAGGTACTGAGCACCCATAGCTCACAGTGTCTTCAGCTGAAGTTGTGGGTACTCCGCATCTTTGTAAATCAGGTCCATAGTGGCCTGTGGCCTAAACTATCTCAGGGCTAGATTGTGATACACTTACTCATATGGAATAGTTTGTTACTCTTCAATTACATTGATTCCAGTGGGATTATTTGTGGAGGAAGGTACTACTCAATATGAGACTATCACAATTAGCCCATTAAGTTCCATTCTGTAAAATCCTTACATCCAGCAAATTCCTTACCTAGCACATACGTAGAGGACTTGCTGAATAGAGATGGTTTGCTGAATTGGGCATTAGAAAATTATTCCCTTCTTCATTTCAGCATTTAGCCTGCAGTTTCAATAGGATACTGTGTTATTATGCACAGCTGATCCTAAGGCCCAATACTTCAAACTCACACAAGCAGTCCCATTGAAAGGCCTCACATACCAGTATCATTGTATTTAAGGCCTGATCCTTCTCTTTAGTCAACGATAAAACTCCTGTTTAAAATACTTCCTGTATCCCAAAATAGCATTTTCCACATCTTGACAGCACGCCTGTTATTTCAAAATAGCTTTAAAAAAAAAATAATGGGAGCACTATTCCAACATGCCAGTAAACCTCGTTCCACAAGAATTAAGGGACGTTTTGGAATACCGCTCTGTTTTGAAATTTGGCATTGTGTAGACAGTGCCAAATTTTGAAATAAGCTATTTCGAAATTAACTCAAAATAAGCTACACAATTTGCATAGCTCAAACTGCATAGCTTATTTTGAGCTACAGGTGCAGTGAAGACACACCCTAGGTTCCCCTCAGTAAACTGAAATGGTTTCTCAGAGTCATTACAATCTGCACTGTCAAGAATTATTTGAAGCAACAGTAGCTCATGCACCATAAACCTATGACGGAGGAGGGATAGCTCCGTGGTTTAAGCATTGGTCTGCTAAACCCATGATTGTGAGCTCAATCCTTGAGGAGGCTGTTTAGGGATTTGGGGCAAATCTATCAGGGATGGTACTTGGTCGTGCCATGATGGCAGGGCACTGGACTCTATGACCTCTCAAGATCCTTTCCAGCTCTATGAGATAGGTATAACCTGGGAGTGGCCCCTAGCAATGAAAAAATATTTCTGTGTATGTGTCCTGATTCGCTTATCACAAGGAAATCTGTTTATCTTAGTCATTAATTTTCCATAAAGATTTTAAAAGGCAGTTAAGCCTGGGAGTGGACCATCAGAACATACAATAAAATATCTTTAAACTCAAATCTTATCTATTAGTAACTAGACAGCTCTTTTATTAACTCCTGTAATTATTTGAGTGTATCTCCATGAGTAGGCATCATTTTACTTTAGCTCTCTTACACGTCACATTTAAAAGAGTGGATTTGAATGTTACAATGACTCTTTTACAAGAATGCCATACCCAATGGCTGCATCTAGACTGGCATGATTTTGTGCAAATACTTTTAACAGAAAAGTTTTTCCGTTAAAAGTATTTGCGCAAGAAAGCATCTATACTGGCATGTGCCTTTGCGCAAAAGATTTGCTTTTGCGCAAAAGCGTCCGTGCTAGTGTAGATGCTCTCTTGCGCAAGAAAGCTCCGATGGCCATTTTAGCCATCGGGTTTTCTTGCGCAAGAAATTAATGTTCCTGTCTACATTGGCCCTCTTGTGCAAGTATTCTTGTACAAGAGGGCTTATGCCTGAGCGGGAGCATCAAAGTATTTGCGCAAGAAGCACTGATTTTGTACATTGCAAAGTCAGCGTTCTTGTGAAAATTCTCACGGCCAGTGTAGACAGGCGGCAAGTTTTCGTGCAAAAGCGGCTGCTTTTGTGCAAAATCTTGTCAGTCTAGACGCACCCAATGAGTTCATAGTAGGAGGGCATTTTTCCCATGAAGTTATGAACCCTTAAAAACAGGAGATTGTATATTCAAAGCTTAACTAGGAGATGGTGTGGTCTATGAAAAAGGCCCTAAAACTGGAAATCAAGAGGGTTCTCGTTTGCAGCTCTGCCAATGACTTTGGACAAATCACTTAATCCCCTCTTTGTGTTTCAGTAAAATGGAGACAGTGGTTACGCATTTGAGATCTGCAGATTAAAAGTGCAATACAAGTGCTAAGTGGGGTTATTTCTCATGCTCTTCTCCTCATGTGGCATTCAGAATAATTTTGTATTTATATTTTCATGTGTCCTTTACAAGTTTTGAGATCTTTATGATGTTATGTTTATTGGCATTTTTTAAAATTGTTTCATTTTATTTAGAGATGACTCAGTAATTGAGCCATTCTTGGAGCAGTGCAGAAAATGGTTTGTCAACACTCCTGAAAAAGGTTAGCTGTAAAATGAATCATACTGCCGAAGTGCGGAAACCAGGCATTTCTCCGTCTATCTCCTGAGAATTCCTGATCCTCTGTATTGTTGCCTTAAGCTACTTACAGTCAGAGATTAAATTTAATGAGAGAGAGAGATTAAATGGCCCACATGCACGTGCTGTCTGTACACTGTGGGTTAAAGCTGTGGTTTGGGGACTCAGATAGATTTGCATGGCTAACTAGAGGTTTTTATGCCAAATTCCCACAATTCAAAGTACTAGTTCCAGACTTTCAGTTGCTGTCTAATGAAAATAACTACAATTTATCTGTACTTTGGCCAGCTGATTTCTAGAGGCCACTGTATTTCTAAGAATTCTTTTGTTCCCAAGCAGCAGTTACATCTGGCCCTGATAGGGCAGGTTAGTTGAACATAGAATTAAAACGAAGAAAAAAAGAGAGTGATTAACCAGCTGGGACACTTTAACACCTACAATCTAGTATGCTTTTTGCACAGTCTTGTGTTGATCCATAATTTTTAAAGATGTACACATTTTACAGGTGTGTATACTACAGAATAGCCAGCAATACCTTCATTCTCGTTAGGCCCATTATGATGGTTTTTCCATACAAGATACAAACCAGTCAGTAAGTTCTAGAAATCAGAGTACAGGACTGGAAGCCCAGAACTCCTGAATTCTATCTCAGCTCTGCAGCTGTCTCCTTTGTTGCCCAATGCAATATATAGTTAACTCCAGTGCCTCAGTTTTCCTATCTGTAAATTTAGATTCTATGTATCCTATTCACTGGGAGATTGTGAGGAATTAGTTCATGTCTGAAGAGCTTTCAGGGCTCTAATACACTATACACATCCTCAGTGTTGTAATGTGCATTGTAGATGGCTGAGAGTTCATAAGGATTACTCCTGTGTTTATAGAGGTTTTGTGCAGTGAAAGTTTTCTCATGGGACAAGCTGAGGAGAACAAACCAAATCAAGTGTCACATAAAGGGACAGTAGTTAACTCAGTGATAATCTGCAATAGTAAAGGTAGAACATTATGATTATTTTATAATCATCCATAAAAGCAGCAATTGCAAGATCAACCCAACATGATTTGCGTTCCTACTCTAAATCAGTATTTATGCAGGGCAAACAGATAATCATTTTTGTAGTTTCCACCATTTTAAATGCAACCTAATTAAGTTGGTGTTTTTAAATGTATGTGTTTAATACTGATTCTCTCAACAAATGACTGGTAGTGCATGAAACAGCTAGGCACGTATGGGAAGCTTCAGGGTAAGCTATTATTTCCACCTTTGCCAATTCTCTGTGCTACTGACCATCATCTGTGCTATTCTAGTGCTGGCCCTGCCATGAATGGGAAATGCCAGTCATTTCAGACTTATCACCCTGTAGCCTGTTTTGAAATAGGGACATACATTCACTCTGGATTAGATTAAGATCATTTAATTCATTTCATTAGTGATATAAACCAGATCTGAATTCAGGTTTCCAGAGAAAAGGCAGCCGTGAGAGTATACTCACTGCATCCATGGAACCCTTAGTTCTTTAACAGATAGACTTAGATTTTGACCTAAGTCCTAAAAATGTATAAAGGGAAAAATGAGGGCACTAAGGACCATCACCATGATTAGACACCTTTGCCGTTCAGATCTAATATAGGAGTGCAGTCTCAAAGCCTGTGTTTTGAAATGCCCGGGGTAAAGAAAAAAAAATAACTCTGCATTTGTTTTCTTCTGTGATTTAAAACCAGACCTTGAATATTCTCCTATCTGAATGGAAACTCTCCATGCACAGAGAAGTGAAGAACAGTCAACTCATAACCCTCCACTCAATTCCATATGCTGCCACAGATTTTGTGTGTGATCTTAGGCAATACTTGTAAGGCACACCTACACTGGAATAAAGACTCATGGCACAGACATAGCTGCTTTGGGATCAGCTGACTCAGGCTCACAGGGCTTAGGCTGTGAGGCCAAAAAATTGTACATTTTTGGGCTTATATGGGCACATGGGCTCTGGGTGGATATGGATTAATTCTTGAGTAGATGATGTAGTTTATTTTGGAACTCCTCGGTACCATAGGGTAACATACAAAAAAACAGTGGGAGAACATTTTAACCTCCTTGGATACACAATTATAGACTTGAAAGTTGCAAAAAAAATTTCAGAAACAAGCTGCAACATGAAACTGTGGAGCTGGAATTCATATGCCAATTTGACACCCTGAGAATGGGTCTGAACAGGGACTGGAAATGGCTCTCTAATTACAATAAATAATTTTCCCTGTTAGATATTCTCACTTTCTTATCCACGTCCACCCTCATTTAATTAGCTCTGATATAACACTCCTATCTATCTCTGTATGCCTACCATCAGTTAATTTTTTTTTTCAGTTCATGTATTTGGCGAAGTGAGTTGCAACACCCAAATTCTTATGACCTAATAAAATGGTTGTTTAAGGTGCCACAACAAGAACTTGTTGTTTTCAGTGGTAATGATGGGTGACAGGGGTCACACAAGTAGCTACAGAATAGACTCTAGCAAAATTGCACATGTACGATTTTTGGGGTGTGAATTAAAATGACCTTAGGTGTATGAAATATCTCAAATTAAACTTTGAAAAATCTGCAAATTTGTGAGGTATGTCCATACAAATTTCCAACTTTGTGAGATTTTAACACTAATGAAATATTTGTAGCAAACATATTTCCATGTTTGAGTTAAACTGTTTCTCCGCAGTACAAATAAACAGAACTTTAGTATTCTGCATCTCTTGGTAGCCTTGTTGAGATATTTTGCAAAATCAAAATGATTTATGGATAAAATAAAAGTATGAGCAAAAATTCAGGAACAGTTATCAAAAATACCATTCACCAGTACTCAGAATAATACATCTTAATTTGTTACTTGTACTAAACCTCTTACAACACTGAATAAGGAAATTACTTCAATATTCTCTTGCAGAGTGTGAGTTACTGTTCCTAACTACAGCTTGACTCAGAATCTAAAGAGGAAGGAAAAGTCCCACATTTGGAGCTAGGGAGAGAGAGCAATTACAAAAGTGGAGGAAAAGAAACATACCACTGCATGTCTCTTGACCAAATTCGTCATCTGTGTCAAAATCTTCCAACTCCAAGTAATTGTCCACCTGTGAAAAGGCCCAAAATCAAAAGACTGGACATATAAAATTAAGTCTATTCTTTCCATTGTTCTCACTCACTGCACCTTAGAGCAAAGCAAAAGTTGTATCTGTCTACATCAGTTTCTCCATTCTCCTCTGGAGCTTTTACAAGAGTTTGAAAATTTATTTGGATATTATTTGAAAGAAAGAAATGTTTGGGTATAGTTTCTGTAAAAAGTAATTTAAAAAGAAATATTGCAAAAGTTATATAGCAATGTTTTCCTTAACTTACAAGATTGCAAAAACAGGAGCAGGAGACAAATGTTACTATGCAGTCTTGGAAATCCCCTGCTTGAGACCAAGAAAGTGAAACCGACCCAAAACAAAAGAAAAACTTGCAATTCTAGTTTCATTGTTCAAACTGGCTAAAGTGAAAAAAAGGAAAAATATTACATTAATTGTTTTCGGACTTAAATCGGGACTTTTTAATTATTTTATTTAGCCTTGACAATGGCCATTTAAAAATGTCTTAGGCATATTTAAAATGCTTTGCAATAACATTGCTTTATCATTAAGATTTCCCATGGGTGAATAATGGGAGGGTAACAATGATTCTCCCCACCAAAATTGTTCACATAAGGGTTAGGCACAACTTTATAAATATTCAAACCTGACAAAACATCACTAAGTTCACTCCCTGGGCTGAGGGATGCAGAGGATCAGAAGAAATGTTATGACCCACCTGAGCCCTTTCTAAACATTAAAAATAAATTCCCTCCTAAGTACCTATAAAAAATAAAATGAGTTTTCAGATTAAATATACAGCATGTATCAAAGTACAAGAGAAGGGACTAGAAACTTTTCTTCCTTGGGCTCAGAACTTGCTTTTCTTAGAAGGGAAACGTTTATTAGCACACTTTCTCTACAGTATACCTGTCTGCAACTCTGAACATATGAATAGTCTGGTCTCTATAGATACATTATTACAAAAATATTAAAATGACCCAATGTCATGCTAAAAAACTGAGACCTTGCCCACTCATTACCCTCAATGAAGCTCCTTAGAAAAAGCCTGGGAAAATGGATTAGCCTGGCAACAGAGGCTGAAGGTCAATGAATCTAAGCTCAGTAAGAGCAAAGTGGGGAGTCATTTTCACAGTAGAAAAAATCCTTTCCTCCAATTCCCAGACAAAAATATCGAGGAACTGCCAGATAGCGCATCTCAACTGACCTCAGGTCTTAGATTAAAAGAAGGGAAGAGACACAATCCAGAATGGGATTTATAGGTCAAAATAAGCATCTTGAGCTACCCCTGTAAATGAACTGGAAGCGAGAGCAGACACTAGAGCACAGCTGTACTGTGCTTCTTTGAAGTGGCACTGATGAGTTGGAGAGTTGCCCTATATTGCACTGTGCTTGTAGCACAGAACCACAGAGAAACGAGAGATGCATAGGGTCTAATAATCTCATCCAGTTCAAGACCCCTCCCTCCATCCAGTCTCTGGCAATTTAAGCCACTGCTAAGAGCACACTCCTGTAAGATATTAAAAGTATAAATAAAAACTTAACAGAAAAAAGCTGGGTAGATAGTGGTGCTTGAGTTTTTCATTCCCTCAGAAGGATCATGGAAGCAAACACTGTATTTTCAAGCACTTTCCCTA